CGTATTTGAGATTGAAATAATTCACTGATATGGATCCAAGACTCGTTTGCAGATCTTTAATTCGTTTGGTCTTTTCTTCATCCTTCACCCTGAGCTCAAAAATGTATGCAGTGAGTTGATCCATATGAATTGACTTTTCGATGAGCTCTTGACGGAGAATCCCTTAAGGATATTCCTTTCCCACGTGAGGAGGTTGGACTAGATTGTGCCATGTGTGTTTTACCAATCTAATAGAAGGTCGAGTGGGAGAATATTCTGGAATGGATGAGGATCCACCAGTCTTAAACATGGTACTCAGACCTTCATCTGATTGTTTTAGAGGAGATTGAACAGTGATAACAGTGATTGTTGAAAGAACTTGAGGTGCACTTCTTACAGCGGGTACCTCCAGACTTGTAAGTGATTGGCTTGTTTCCATGGAAGGCTGAGAGGTTTAGGGCAATTGAGTCAGGAACAATTGGAGCAGATGTTAAGATCGATGACACAAAGGGAGGAATCTCTGATGTCATATCTCCTTGGCTTGATGTAACCTCCAGGGGTTTTGAAGTAAAGAGCAAAATCTTGAGAGTGTTTCCTTCATCTCTAGTCTTGGTAGCTAAAGAAGCAACTTCATCGACTTTATTAGGACAGCTGCTGGGAATTCCAAGAAAAGGACCGAATTCTTCATCATCAAGATCAAATTCTATATTTGTCGGGATGTCATCACTAATCCCTGTAAAATTAATTTCCTTCAAGAACTCCACATCACCATAAAGATCATCATCATCATCTTGAGCAGAATGTGTTTCATCTTCTTTCTGATGATCATGTTCCTTAGCCACAACGGCTGGAGGAGAATCATGAACCTCCTCAATCTCTAGCGCGGAGGTTGAATGAAAAATATCTTCAGATTCCATCGGGATGGACTGCTCTTCAGATTCTTCTCTATCATTTTCTGCAAAATTCCGAATTTTATCAATAGAAATTTTCCTTCAAACACAAATTTACCGGCTCTCTTCTACTTCATTAGTCCAAAAGCACTTGGACCAATGGATTTGAAGTCCAAGGCTTCATTTCCTCTCTGCAGCTCGGGGTGTGTTATATTAAGAATGATTTGCAAGAATCTTGGATACATCAAAAACTTGTCTCTCTTGCTCCCTTCAAGGTTTAGAATCATCTATGCATTATGAACTTGGAGAAGTTGAACTCAAGTCCTACAGCCAAGGCTGTAATTGCTCCAGTGTTAGCCAGAGAGATCTCATTTGCTCCAGATCTCCTGCCAGAAATACAGCTCACAAACACATGAGCCAGATGCTTCCAACATGGAGGAATCAACTTCTTGATGGTAGGGGAAAGGTTCCCTCGTACCCCATGTGTTCTAAGACATCCTGAGTTTGATGAATGTCAATCTCCATAGTGTACTCAGATCGTTCATCTATTTGGAGAGATTCCTGAATGATGCTCTCTGTTACTTGAACTTTCTTATCTTCAATTGTTGTTTCAATGAACTTTTTCACCCTGATCATTCTTTTTCACAACAATGCTTCTCCAGAAATCCTTAATCAAATTCTGGTAGATAGCAGGGCGTGTAATTAGAGCATGAGCCAAGCAGGATTTCTTCAACCCATCCACAATGAATTTCAAGTCATTGTGAGTTGTAGGAGGGTCTTCGAGAAAAATGGCGGAGTTTTGGACTTTAGCAAATTCCATGTCTCCCATATTAATCTGAAAATAAACGCAAAAAATGATTAGGGCAAAATTATTAAAAATGGTGCAGCCACACATAGAAGTGCACACAGCTGCATACATGTAAGTGTGCAACAGCAGCCGTACACACCCAACCGTTCACATATCATATAGCCGCACACGCCCGTGTGCAGCCGTACATACCGTGTGCGGTCGCACTTGGAGAAAAACATATTATATTTTGATTCAACAGCAAACAATGGATGATTTTCACAAAAAATTTAAAATATTGACCCGTGTTCATGAGAATTACTGGATAATGACTTCGATTTCAAGAAAAACAGTGGAATATTCAAGAATTTTGAGAGAAGGTAAAAAAGGTGTGTGAGTTTGAAAGAAACGTGTGTGGTAATAGTGCCAGTAACATTCTCACCGCACACACCATATATATATTATATATATATATATATATATATATATATATATATATATATATATATATATATTATATATATACTCAAAATATTTTCATTTCCTCCCCCTCATCTTTTTAATAAATAAAACCGAGGCCCCATACTCATCATTTTTCAAAAACAAACCATTTTGAGGATTTAAGAGATTAAATTTATTATTCCTAAGGATTTAAAACTAAAAAAAAACTAAAAGAAAACTTATTAACTAAGATAAAAATAATATATAAAATAAAAATTAAAAATAGAATAGACTAAAATAAAATTGTAAATACTATTAACGATAAGGAATTAAAATTTAATTTTTAATTCTATATAAATTGTTTTAACCTATTGAGATTAGGGACCAAAGTTTTTAGACAACCTTTATCCGTTTGTCGGTACCTTCTATCTTCACGTCTTTGTCTGGTCGATCGTCGGTATTGTTGTCCACTTAAACATGAAAATTGTGTCAAAATTAGGACATACTATAAGTGACAAGACAATATGATCCTGAGTTCCTAGATATTGTTTCCGATCCTAAGTTCCTAGATACTATATCTTAAGGACCATTCAGCTGACGATGACCAGTGATATTGTTGTCCACCTAAATTGAGCAGCGAGATCTATAGACAATCCTTGAGTGTTTAATTTTTAATTGTATTGGAACATGTTTCCCGCTTCCTGATATGCCCCAGTAATCAAGGACTTCCAGAGTACTCCTTACATCGGATGAGCAGACCATCATTAGGTTAGAAGATAGATTCAGAGTATTATTACTTATAGTTTTAGAGAGATTGATAAGTAGAAGGTTGCATATGCTGTGTACCAGGTCGGATTGTTGGTCACGCAAAGGAGACAACATATGGCTAACAAATAAGAGGAATTTCATATATAATATGCAAAGAAATAGAGTTGCATATGTTACAGTCCAGGTCGGATCTCTTCCAATCACACAGAGGAGGTAACATATGACTAACAGAAAGAAAGAAAGAAAATGATTTTCTACAGACCTAATTTATCGGAATTTACTAGTCTCCCCATCAATACCGGAATTAAGGACAGAATCCGCACATCAAGGAAAAATTAAACCATGGTTCCAGATACGGGTTCATTTAATGTGACCAGTAGATTCCCATATATATCTCCCTGCTCAACCTATCAGAGCGTCGTATTGTCAGGCAAAACGGATCTAACTAGGTAAAGATTTGTCGAGTCTATGAATTCCTTAAGTTCAACATTGCCTAGTAATGTCCATTTAGAATCTTTCGTGCCTACCGACGCATCAAACCAGAGCATAGAACCTTCAACTTTGGGTACGTTACGCAGAATTAGATTGCATGTTATCACTTGATGATACCACTTCCCTAAACATCTCCCTCAAGCACATTCCATAACCAGCATAATTTCTTTTCGTTTTTTCTGATTTTCTAATTTTCTCTGGTTTTGGATTTTCTAATTTTCTATGTTTTTGGATTTTCTAATTTTCTATGTTTTTGGATTTTCTAATTTTCTCCCACTAAATTTGTGCATAAAAAATAAAAAAATAAAAAGAAAAAAATGCGCAAATTTATCCTAAGATAAACATAAAAATTAATCCTCAAAATGGATCATTTTTAGAAAATTAATTAGCACATCGAATCGAGCTTTGTTAAACGGCTTGGTGCACAGATCTGCTACATTATTATCAGAGCGGACATGTTCTAGCCGATTAAGTGAACGCTCATAACATTCTCTGATAAAATGAATCTTGATGTCGATGTGCTTGGTTTTTGAGTGATGGACCGGTTTTTTGGCAATTTGGATCGCAGCCTCATTATCACAGAAAAGAGGGGTTTCTTGAAAATTCAAACCGTAGTGCAACAGTTGATGTTGGATCCAGATGACTTGAGAAAAACAAGCAGACACAATGACATACTCCGCTTCTGCTGTTGAGGTGGAAACGGTATGCTGCTTCTTACACTGCCATGAAACCAATCTATCGCCCAGAAATTGGCATCCCCCTGAAGTCGATTTTCTATCTAGCTCACACCCGCCATAGTTTCTGTCTGCAAAAGCGTAAAGATCAAATTCTTGATTTTTCGGATACCAAAGACCCAGTTTGGGCACTCTTTGAGATACCAAAAAATCCATTTAACAGCAAGTAAATGAGAGAGTTTAGGATTAGCCTGGTAGCGAGCACATTGACAGACCACAAGCATTACGTCTGGGCAACTGGCAGTCAGATACATGAGTGATCCAATCATTGATTGATAATGCGTCTGATCTACGGATTCACCCTCAAGATCAGGGGTCAGTAGAGGTCTTTTCGCCATGGGTGTAAAAGCAGGTTTCGCGTCTCGGAACCCGAACTTCTCCAGTACATCATCCACATACTTTTCTTGATGAATAAGGATTCCTGTTGAAGATTGTTGGACCTGAAGCCCCAGAAACATGGTCATTTCCGCAAGTGAACTCATCTCGAACCTCTTCTTCATCACCACTTCGAATTCTTTGCAAAGCTGTTGGCTTGTCGACCCGAAAATAATGTCGCCCACATAAATTTGAACAAGAATTTAATCTGGACCGACATGTTTGAGGAATAAGGTTTGATCAATGGTGCCTCGGGAATAGCCGTGGTTGAGCAAATGCGGAGTCAGAGTAGCATACCAAGCTCTAGGAGCTTAATGCAGTCCATACAAAGCTTTGTCTAACTTGTAGACATGGTTGGGAAGTTTTGAGTTAACGAAACCGAGTGGTTGATCAACGTAGATCTCCTCCTTGACCTTGTCGTACAAGAAAGCCGTCTTGACATCCATTTGGTATACAGTGAAGTTCATATAGGAAGCATAAGCAAGGAAGATACGAATGGCTTCCAAACGAGTGACTGGAGCATAAAATTCCGTATAATCAAGACCCTCAACTTGCCGAAACCCACGAACCACTAATCTCGCCTTGTTACGCACAATTACACCTGAGTCATCTTGATTATTCTGAAAGACCCATTGGGTGTCAAGAGATTTATTTCCTTTTGGAAGCTCCACCAACTTCCAAACCCCGAGCTTCTCGAATTGATTAACTTCATCATGCATGACGTCAACCCAGCTGGGCTAATTTAGAACCATTTCGACAGATTTGGGCTCTATCTGAGAAATGAAGCAAGAGTACAGACATGTGTTAACATCCCCACTTTGACTTCTCGTTTAAACATCGTCGCCCAGCTGGCCAATGACGTTCTCTATTGGATGGTCGCATTGAATGTGTGCAGGGATCTGGTAGCTGATATCATTGACAGAGACTGGAAGAGTATGAATGTTGACCGCTCCATCATTTGTTGTATGATCCATAGTAGATGAACAAGGTTCGTTTGGAGGATCTGCTACAAACTCTTCAACAATGCTTTCTGGAAAGAGAAGTCCATCAGATTTGAAGTTACAGTGGAAGTTTCTTGGTTCATGAACTCTCTTTCCACCGGAGATAGAGGAGTAGCACCAGCATCAGGAGAAGGTCGTTAAGGAGAAGACTCAGAAGATTAATTGTGAACAGATGGCACCATTGGAGGAGCAGAAGAAACCAGTGGTGGTCAGTAGACAACTTCGTCTTCTTCATCTTCAATAATGATCTTCGAATATGACGTAGATCCTGCTTGATTATCTGAGGACACATTGAATGACTTGAAAAGAGAAGTGTAGTCGAATAGCCAATTGGGATAAACTTTTGCATCTGTCTCATTTTCTCCGAGCCAACGAATATCGAAAGATTCTACTATCTGTTTTGTCTTCTTGTTGTAAACCCTGTAAGCA